ATTGATGGTTGTCAATATGGCAAAAAGTATGACAATATACTTCCAGGATATTTTCATGATGTGTTTGTTGATTCCATCATTCTAGCATATTAGGTAGAGTGGGAATACTTTCAAGAACTTTCTCGCTTATCAACTGGCTGCCACTTCTGTTCATCTCGAATCGTTTTCATAGATATGAAACGTAATGAATTAATAGAGTTCTTAATGCTTGAAACTTTGCTGATTTTTTGTATTCTTGGTAGAAAAAGATTTTCTCTTTATTTTGAGGCGATATTCCATCTTATGCAATTCATAGTGAGAAGACATCAAAATGTTTCTTTTCATGTTTTACTTTTATCTCTTTTTGCGCACTGCTATCTGAGGTTTATATAGACGAATGGTGTACTACTATAAATACTGCACTTATTTCTATTTTGATTATACATCAAATAAAACTGAATAAAACTTGAAAAGCAAGGTAAACTCTTGTATTGACGCATATAAATGATTTGTGCATTTCAAAATGCCTTTCTCAGCATCCGTTTTTGACATATTTCAATATTGGCAGTCTCCAAAAATTACAATAACACTTTAAAGACAAAATGATTATTTTGTGTGTTCTGTGTGATCGTTCTATGAATTTAGTCTAACACAAGCATAGAAACTCTATAAGTTTGAAAAACCTGTAATTTAAAAATTTTGATCGGATCTTGAGAAGGGCTAGCTTTTTCTATCAAACCTGTCATGTTTCACAATGGCAGCAATCTGATAATTGAAACAGTATAGGAAACTCCTTCCGTCTGCTTTAGATAACATTTTAGAAAAAGAAAATCAATTCGTCCTTTTGCTCACTTCACTAAACCAGAAAATTGGATAGACGAGCGGACGAATACGAGAGATTGAGCTGAAAAGAATAATATGCCTTTAATGAATTAGAAGTAAACTGTATCTATTGCAAAACCTGATTGTTGAATCTTTTATTACATTAATATTGTATTGTAAGTGACGGGATTCATTCACAATAACTGATTGTTCGAGATTAAATCAATGTTTTTCGTTTTAATCAATACTTACTTCCGGTTGTTGGCTCAATATCTGCAAAGCTTCGATGGATTGCATCATTGGGACGCATGCCTACAACAGCATTCAATACGATTGGATCAGCGTCAAGAAAATGTGGATTAGATGCAATTATAGACAATGGAACGTTAAGGTTGCTACCAACTAAAAATGCATAGGTTACCTGATCTTTTTTTACTTTGCAACAAACATAAAATGATTAACTCACAATGTTGGCATGAAGCCTGTGTGAAAAGGCCATCTGGCAAACAATGCAGTTCATAGGTGTTATTGGGAGTGGTATCATTCATGCAAAAACCTCGATTTTCAGTTGAATTAGAAAAAATAGTATGTGGCAATGTATAACGATACAGATCGATGTCAGCAACATTTCTTTGCGTTTCGTTGAAGGTCAAATAGATTGATCGACAAATATCAGGAATAAACGCATAGGTTCGTTCGTCTTTTGTTGCATTTGGATGCCACATAGTACCGTCTGTTCCATTGATCATATTCGCATATTGATCAGACCAAATGGACAAACTAGTCAAATGATTAAATCGCTCGATGGTACCGGCCGGATCAATACGTTCTATGCCATGAGTATTATCACCTAAGCCGCTACTGACTAAAAATGTATCATAAGCGATTGAATCTACCTGAAAAGAACGACATATCATGGCAAAATTTTCAATAACAGATTTGTTAGCAGAGCCATAAGAAAAAACTGAAAAGTAATCTCTTACGTTTGATTTCGAAACAGATCTTTAAAAGTATTATGTAAAAACTCTCACATTGAAGCCAAACAATGCCACTCGATCATCTGGTACCAATTCAGGTAGCGCTGCTTTAAGCGCATGCAATAGAGGATCTTGGTAACCCCATAGATACTCTCTAATCGATCTTGTCATGAATGGTTTCTCTACTACATCTAAAATTCCTGCTAACATACGGCAAAATACAGGTGCCGTATTTCCGATTTGGAGAAAATTGACTAAGGCCTAAAAAGAAGAAGCACACAAATTCGTACGCTACTCTTAGTTGTATAAATCGTTATGTTTACCATATACACGACGTTGATTGTCGTAAAACTAAAGGTTTCATCGTCGACAGATTGCTCTCGATGGAATATATATTTACGCGGCTCTTGATATGATATTGTCCCGTTTGAATACATCTGTAGATTGATTTTGTTCGCTCTTCTCTAAAATTAATACTCATAGAAATAGAAACTTTTTTGTTGCTTAAAAGGCTATTGATCATACTTGTAAACGAACGGACCTCGTTCAATGACAACCGGTTTGACCCCATTCCTTAGGACGTCAGTTGGATTTACAATGTCGAGCACATAGATTGATACGTACATTGACAAAGGATTTTCTTTCCAGCTTTTGTGTAGCAATGCACTTTCTCTGAATTGGAACTCCTAATCAAATGATATTGATTATTATGCATTTACATTAAGTAAAAATTATCATTAACACATTTTTAATGCCTGTTTGGACGGGTGAGTTTCGAAGCACATTAGAAATGGTGCCAGAAACAAGAAATAATCCCACGATGAGAAAAATCCATATACAATACGCTCGGTTGATCATTGTATTGTTGTTGAAGTAGAAAACAGAAGAAATTCAATCTAGAAATGTACTTTGCTTAATATTAACCAATGCAACTTTATAATGAATTATAAAGGAAGAAAACAGGTCGAGAACACACATACTTACAACAAATCTAACATTTTTGTTATTAAAACAGACCAATAGAATGAAAACGATTAATTTTGCAAAAGAAAATGACATAACCTACACCCAAAAATGGATAGAGAGGAAAACGCAGTAGGAGACTTCAGTTAGAATGAAGACTTATCTGGATCAATAGCTACGCTGTCAACATTGTTGATTTGTCTATTTTCCTTCTCGTATGTACTTTCTTTTCAAAAATATTTCTACTGGATCTTTAAACTATTAAATTGAAAAATTGACTGATAAATGACAGCAAGAGATTTTAAATATGTATACGAAAGTGTTCGATTCGGGTATTGTTCAAATCAGAAAGAAGAAAGAACACCTAATCTTTCAGGTAACCTGTAATATCGGATTCTGTCTGAAGCCACTTCCATAAACCTGATATCTTCTCTACAATTAACTCTAGCTCTAGGTATGAATAAAAGATCAGCCTGATATAAAGTTTCTGCGCTCAATTGCTTAAAATTTCCATACGCACTAACCAATCATATAGCAGTCGCGGCGGTAATTTATGTTACAATGGACTCTATATACGATCAGATAACTGATGTGAGACAAAAAGCAGTGAACGAATTGTTCAGAATCATTTCCTGTCTAATGATTCTCAAACTCAAATACAATGCATTGTTTGTATTTGTCGAATAACTCAGTCAATCAACGACAAAAGTTATCTCAAATGAGTAAGTGGTTCTATCTAGCTTTTCTTTATGTTTCACGTAAGAAAAACATTTATCTTCTCGCAGCTCGTGATTTATCGGTATGGATGTTAGTTTGAATATAGGGTGTGGTCATGGCTGAGAAAAAAAACTGACAGCATAGTGGTAACCTGTACTCATCCTAAACTTTCGACCTCATGTCCATTCACATCCACACGCTACGAGGATAATACATCAGAGAACACCGGCAGACATTATATGAAGATAAATGCACACTAATTAATAATTTGCCATTGTTGCGGACAAGCTATCGAACGCGTTGTTCAATGGTGTACAGCATACAATGTTGTATCCTGATATGTTTCAGCTTCAATTTGATTTTTTCAATCAATCACAAGCAATAATACAAAAGTATGTACATACTAACAATATTGAAAAAAACTAAAAAATGACCACAATATTATAATTCTTCTATAGCAATTCAACACAACTACTGGCTTGAGCATAATAAACAAGTGTGTGCACTCAGCAATGCAACAAATCCAAAAGCTTCAGATTTGATATAAGGTTTTGAATTCGAACTACGCTTCAGGTTTTCTTTCGAAATACAGAAACTATTCATATTTAACAATATATTTTTTTGGTTGTATATTCCTCTCAGTTCTGCAGAGCTTTTATAATTTTTGGGTGTGGGTGCGTGTGAGCGTGTTCCTATTGTTCTACATCTACATCGTAACAAAGTTTCTACCATGAAAAGTCACCATTCAGTAAGCGAGAAGGATGCTGAAGTTGAAATGAAAGAAAAATGGAAACTATTGTCATTCTACTATCCGATTCTTCCCTGAGAACAGTCAAAATGCACAAAAAATAGATGCAAACGACTCATAAGATCAAAATGCATAAATTCACCTTTATGTTAATTGAGTAATGAAAATAAAACCATTCTATGGTTCGAAGTACTTTTTTCTGTCTCCAAGAAATTCTATTCCTATTATCTTGTTAATATAAGGACTAAGTTAGATGATTGACATATCAAATTTTCATTAATTCTTTTTATTACATAGCTTTGTCATCTATAGCAGTCTAATGAAAAACCTAAATCAATGAAATCGATAGCATCATTTATGAGAATGCTGTTACATTTCTTTTCTTTCTTTCAAACGTTGATTTGTCGTAGATAGTCGTTTGACAACGCAATCATATTGTGTTGGTGATCGATTAGTTTCTCTTCTATAATCATATTACTCCTTAAGAAGCAGAAGAAACGTACGAATACCCGTATGAAGGACGCCATCATTTTAATTCAATACATTTGGCAAAGACAGTATGATCAGTAGCAAAACATTACAACAAAAACGAAATCACAAAAAGTAATGATTACTACTTAAGTCTTTAAAAATCCCCTTTATATTTAGACGAAATCAATGATATTGAATTTGCTGCGTTCTGAAAAATGAAAAATAAAAAACAATGATCGAATACTCTATAAAAAAGAAGTGATCATTTGGGATGCTACGGCATATTCGAATATTCCTTTCATTCTTGATAAATAACTCAGATCATGTGGAAATTTATTTTCATTTCCCTTACGACTCTTGCAGTTATCAATGTTTCAGCTGTTAGGTCATCATTAATGAACATCGGATGCTATGCTGACTTTAATCTTGGTTCTCCAGTAATGAACGATGCTGTCACTAATATTAGTTCCAATACTCCTGAAAAATGCGCATCGTATTGTACTTCTTTGAGTATTGCTTATTCGGGAACTGAAAATGGTAATGAATGCTATTGTTCGGAAGTACCACCTACAGTTAAATCAGATTTTTGTACAACACCTTGTGCAGGCGATTCAAAGCAAATTTGTGGAGGTGTCAATGCTCTATCCGTTGCTTTTACTACTATTCCATCTCTACCAGCAACAAACAGTACGAAGCGTGGTCTCTGTTGGTCATGGAATAATAATGTATCGACATTTGCATTTTTCTCGCCAAGCAGCATACCATGGTTGTACAATTGGGAACTATGGGACCCACGTCCTGTAGGAATCTATTCAACAGCTGAATATATACCCATGTGCAGAACAGCAGCAAATGCACCTAAAATTCTCTACCACCTATCAAAATGCAATGCTAAACGTCTTTTAGGATTCAATGAGCCAGATTTACCGGAAGCTAAAGGAGGTTATTACATTTCTCCTTATGATGCCTCCGTTCTTTGGAAAAATTATATTGAACCTATGAAAACTCGATGTAATATGACATTAGGAGCGCCAGCTATCACTAGTTCAACCACTCCGGGCATGGGTATCGATTGGCTTCAACAATTTTTTGGCAACTGTACAGCTTCAGAATGTTCTTTTGATTTCCTTCCTATTCACTGGTATGGTAAATCACTGAAAAACTTCCAAAAACATGTCACCAAAGTCAACGAACTTTTCCCTAACTATCCTTTATGGATTACTGAATGGCAATTCACTGGTTTTTCTGTTGTAGCAACAACAAATCTAATCAAACAAGCTATACAATGGCTCGATGCACAAAATTATGTAGAGAGATATGCGATGTTCGCACCAAAGGAAGCTGCACGTATGAACAGTATGCCAAATGCTGCAATGATTACAGACGATCTTAGTGGACTTACAAATGCTGGAAAAATATATGCTGGGCTCTTGTAGATAACTAGACAAACAATGTCGTTGTATCAACAAGATATATCATAGAAATCGAAAAAGAACTAAGTTTACTTCAGAATATCGAATTTGTTTTTGAAAATATACGACATGAATTTCGCTCATGAAAAAAGATTGCAAAGCTAAGGGACTCGGGAACCTTGGGCACAAATTGAGAGTGTGGGTATAGGTATGTGAGTGTAAGAGAATAAAACATACATATTCAGAGCTACACTCACACCCACAAACACACTCTGTTCAATAAACAAAAGTATTTTCAACATCTCACGCAAAGTTCAAGAAAAGTCCCAGATACCACTATTTTTTCTAGCATTTGTAAGTC